TTTTATACACTTTCTTTATCTTCTACACTGATAAATAATTAACCCCTTTTTTTAAAAAAAATTTATCGGACAGTCATGAAATGGTTTCTTAAAGTTTTGGCTTTTCTGTCTGGTCTTTTCTTTACCTGGGTTCTGTTGCAGGCCACAATACTGGGAGCTTCAATGGTGCTGCCATGCACTGGGCTATAGCAGGGGCCAGAGGGCCATTCACTCCATCTCAATGGATGGAGTTAGAACACCAGGCCTTGATCTACAAATACATTACTGCAAATGTGCCTATACCATCTAATCTGCTCATCCCAATAAAGAAGGCCCTTGATTCTGCCTTTCCAAATGGACTTCAGAGGCCCAATACATGTATGTAACTTCATCCTTCTCTGTTCCTCAGGAAAATTAGAAAATGCTATTTATATGTACAGAGTAAAATGTTCAACTGTTAAGTACTAATCCAAGAACATTTCTTGTATCTATATTCCACATGTTATTCTGTAAATTTTAGTATCATGTTTGTGCCTGACAATGAACATAACTTAGTCCAGAAGTCAAATTTCTGCATCCAAACCAAGATTGGGGTTTTTATTTCTTCATTCCTTTCTTGCATTCTAAATTTTTCATTTTTGGGTGTGTGCATATGTGCAGTGGGATGGGGTTCTATCCATTTGGGATTCTCCAACAACACTGATCCTGAGCCAGGAAGGTGTCGTAGGACTGATGGGAAGAAATGGCGGTGCTGGAGAGATGCCGTTCCTGACCAAAAATATTGTGAGCGGCACATGAACAGAGGCCGCCACCGTTCAAGAAAGCCTGTGGAACCCGTCGCTGGAACCACCGCCGCCGCCACCACCACCACCACCACCTCAAAGCAGCTTATGTCTTCGGCTTCTTCATCAGCATCCTTGGTGTCCGTTCCCACTGGCGGTGGTTCAAGCAGCCTCAGCATTGCCAACCAACAGCTCAAGAGCTTGCAGCCTGCTGCATCTAATTCTTCTGCAGCCACTCAGATGAACAGGTAAAGCAGATTCAATTTCATATCTTTTCAGCATTTATTCGTTTTTCAGGCTTCATTCTGAACATCTAAAATTGGCATTGTGGAGTAGTACCACATTCATTACTTTTACTACCTAAAGAATTGTGGAATCAATTATATCATCATCTTTTCAGTGCTGATGGTGACTGGTCTTTTTTACAATCTGAAGTTACTTCAATCTGCTTTATTTTGCACAATATTGATTGTATTGGTGGTCCTAGCTCAATTTTTATATTGCAAAAAAGTTGCTTTCCCCATTAAACACATATTCTCTTTCTTTCTGTTTTTTATATTAAAAAAAATATTTTGATTTCTCTTTGTTTGTAGGATGTTCGTGAACAAAGAGAATGTGGGTGAAAGAATGCATCAAACACCAGGCCCCTCCATGTTGTCTAAAGAGAACCCATTCTTGATCCAGAAACAGCAAATGGGATATGAAGAATCCTCAAGAACAGAGTTTGGGCTTGTCACCTCTGACTCCCTCCTCAACCCATCACAGAAAGGGTCTTCTCTAATGAGCTGCAGAAACTATGGTTCTTCATCACAGAACCTGACTGACCCTGCAGAAACCAACTCACAACAGCATTCCCTTCGCCACTTCATCGACAATTGGCCTAAAAACCAATCCGATCGCCCAGCTATTTCTTGGCCTGACCAATTTGACATGCAATCAGACAGAACCCAGTTGTCAATTTCAATCCCCATTGCTTCCTCAGACTTCATACCATCCACTTCCTCTACAAACAATGAGAAGGTCACTCTCTCCCCCCTCCGGCTTTCGCGTGAACTAGACCCCAAGCCGATGGGTTTGGGAGTAGGCAGTGCCCTCAATGCACAAAACAATAAGCAAGCAAATTGGATCCCAATCAGTTGGGAGACTTCACTTGGTGGTCCTTTGGGGGAGGTTTTGCACCATACCAATAACAACACTGCAGCAGAATGCAAGAACTCTTCAGTGCTTAATCTTATGACAGAGGGATGGGACAAGAACAGCCCTTCTTCATTAGGGTCATCTCCTACTGGGGTCTTACAGAAGACAGCATTCGGGTCTCTCTCAAATAGCAGTGCAGGGAGTAGCCCAAGAGCAGAGAATAATAACCTCCTTGGTTCCAGTATCTTGGACTCTTCCTCCTTGCCTGCCTTGTAATCATTTCACAAACTATGAGGCCATTAGGTGAAGGAACAAGATTCGGTTTTTATCTGTAGTGCCAAGCATAATTAGTCACAGTTAATTTGGAACTTTTTTTCCTTCTAAATATCTAGTCTTGTTTACTTATTTTCTTCAATTCCAGTATGTGTTCCTTTTGTGGTTGTTGGTTCCCTCAATTACACAGTGAAATAAGGTGCCTTCAGTCAATGGATAATTTGGGCTGCAAAAGTTTGTTTCTAGCCTAATCATGGGCTTAGCCTCACCAAATTGATAGGTGGCTATGATTGGCCCAAAACTCACGTAGACAATAACCAGAGGCTGGTAGGTGATATTGATTTGTAATTGTTTCATGTTCCTTTTTATAACAAATGGAAAAATTCGCACCAATTCCATCTCAACTATTAGGATGTACAATTTACCGGCCAGACTTAAACTTGTTGGAAATGGGTGGATCATTAACAGTAATAATGGAGAAAGTGTGACAGGAGGCTTGTCCAACTATATATTAAGCTTCAGATGTGAAATATGTGGGTTTTATGGTAGCATAATCTAGCCCGGGCAGGAGGTACGCTCCACCAAGACACTGCAGCCCTGAGGGCAAGATCAACTAGAGCTGCTGCCTGAGAGGATTGACGTCGACGAAGAAAAAAATATGCATATACTATTCACATGGAAGTAACCATCCTTACATACCTTTGGCAACCTCCCTTGTATTGTGATTTGATTCTATTTTCTTAAAAAGGTTGATTGAGAATCAAGATGTCCTACCCTTAGACCAATTGAGAATCAAGATGTCCAACCTTCAGACCAATTTATTTTGGGATTTAACTAATATTAGCTAAAAACAGGGAGAGCTCAGAAGCCAAGCGTAACAAGAGAATTTCATTGAAAATCCCAACTACAAAAGTTGGGACTTTCTTACGTGTTAGCTGCTCATCACTGCTACATTGTGTCCTTTCAAATGTCAATTCATCTGCCTCGGAAAGTAACGTCACTCGAACCAAAATCTAAAATGATGATCCAGTTTTGATTCTTCCAAACGCAAAGCCATCTGGGTAAGCATAATGGTTTAACTTCTAGGGTTTTACAGATATCGCTTGAAGATAATGTGGAGCTGTGCGTAACCCCATATTCATTTTTTACTTCTGTCAACTAGGGCTTTAAACACCACCATGATTACTTTCAGGAGATGTCTAAACACAAAGCACTATAGCAAAATGCTCTGTGGATACGAAAATCAACTCCTATTTCGATCCAGAACCAACAAATATTATCAAATTAAAGAAGAGGAAGAACAATCAAATTAATCCTAATGCCAAATTGAAAATTCAAGCTCATGGATGATAGAAAAATCAGCCGATTTGAACAAAAACAGAATAAAATTTAAAATTGACAGAATTGAAATGGGTGGGTTGGTGCTCATATTCTATGGGTGTATAGGTGTCTGTCATGCCATGGCTATAGCATTCAGAACGAGGAATTTTTATAATCATCGCAACCAACCCTTCACAAATTCACAAATCACAGGAAATGGAACTTCACAAATTAAATCATCAAAAATAAATCTATAGATTTTGAAAACATATGTGTTTACCCAGAGCCCTAAAACCTCAAAATCCTAGGGTTTTGAGTTCTGGGTTTGAAACCAGCTGAAAGAAGACGAAGAGGAAACTGAAGGCCGCTGTGGTTGCTGCTTTCTCAACCAGTTTTTTCATATTTTTATAGAGAACGGTGAGGGGAAGCCCTAAAACCCTAGCGCGCCCACATCAAACTTAGGTCAAACGGCAGTGAAAACGGTGTCGTGTCATCACATTAAAAACGACGCTGATATATTATATATTGGGCCTTGAAAGAAGTGAACAATTGGGACGACTAGCTTGGACCTAAAATTGAAGACAGAGGCCCGGTTTTCTGTTGCAAAACAAAATATTGTAGCTTCAACTTCAAACTACAAGATTAAAAACTACATAATATTTGTCCTCATTTTTCATACGGTCATACCTAAACTAAAATACTATATAGCTTCCATATGAAGTTAAGATATTCCAATTCGTACAAATTAATATATCCGAACTTGCTTCCATTGATGGGATATGAGTTGATCGTCTCTCTTTTTATATGTATGAACGATGGATGAGCATTTGAACTACGTATGTATTTTATCATTTTGAAGTGAAGTATCATCACCCAAATTGTTTAGTTGGTTAAATTGATCGATTTTGATTGTAAGGTTTTGATCGCTCCACGATTCACCACAACATAATATTTTAATACATTATTAAAAAGAAATGAATTCTTAGTTTCATTTATTATATGATCATAATTTGATTGATACCCAATTTATTAATTTCAATTTGAAGCGTATAGGTATATGGATGAAAAATCATTGTCAATTGAGAGAGAGAGAGAGAGAGAGAGTGATGAGCACATGTAATTAAAAAGGGAAGGAAAAAACAAACAAAAAAACAAGGGATACCTAACATTAATGAAAAGAAAATACCCTAATTGTGATTCATACTCACGCCTCATTTATTTGAAACCAGTCTGAAAATCAATTCGGGTGTTCAGAAACATTAACCACCAAATCAAATCCAAGTTTGTTAGAGAACCCTATAGCTAAAGCCAAACTATATATTCCTCACAACTTTTCTACGTTATTGATCAATGACGTGAACTGAAAAGGAGCTTGCCATCTTTTTTCCCATTATTCATTTCTGCATCCCTAACACAGAAACAAAATTTAGCTACCCATTTAAAGGCAAACGATTAGCACATAATCGCAACCATAAACCAAAACATTTATCATTGCATTACTTGAACACCATGCACCGGAGAAGATCAAGTGACAGCGAGGCCGTTATGCCACGGCCATCTCGGGCTAGTGTACCCTTTTCGTGGGAGAATGAGCCCGGGATGTCCAAGGTTGTAACAGTTGTACATGATCATTGTGATCATAAAGTACTATCAGAGCATTTGAACATGGAGCACTTAACGTTGAAGCTGAAGCCGCCTCCTTGTCTATCGACATCCCCAGGTAGGAGTTCTAGGTTTATGGTGGTTGATCGGCAAACCCGTCTTCCTCTGTGTTCTATTCAGCCTTCGCTTAGGTTAAACTCGTTCAGATTGATAGGTGGCGGTGTTAAAAAGGAAGAAGACCCATTTTTGGCTGCTTTGATGAAATGCAGAGCCAAGAACCCTAATAGTCCAGCAGGAAATTATGGTGAGAAGAAAGTTAAGACCATGTTCAGTTTCTCATGCAAGTATTCTTGTGGCGTTAGGGAGGACAGTATAATTAAAATGCCTCAGTCTCCTAAATAGAGAGATACCACGTTTGATGGCAACCAAACAGTGTTTTATTTGTCGTTTTTTCAATTTTTCACATTACCTAAAGGGCCTACGGTGTGTCGTTTTTTTCTTCCTAAAGAGAGAGAGAAATAGAGAGAGAGAGGAAGAAATATGAATGTGGTCTATTTGTGTAGTTTTCGATTACCAAGTTTGGTGTTTCATTTTGTCGTTTTTTTTCCTTTCTTCTTCTTCACATAAAGGCCTTAGGCCCCTATCATTTGTTTATAAATCGATGTATCATCATGATGTGGGAATATTGTTACTCTCTCATTATCGAACTCAATAAGATTTTATTTCTTATAACTTTCATTTACAAAAAGGTCAAGTTTCCTTTTGAGTTTTGACTTGCAAATTGTACTCAAAGATGGCAATGATGGGTACATGAAATATGTAGCCCCATTGTTCCCTATCTAAACTCGTCTATACATTACTTGCATATTATATTAAAAGAAACAAATAAATTGTCACATTCACCGTTTTATTTTTTTATATTTTCATATAGTAATTTCCTTCTCACTTGTATACCGTGTGTCTTCAGTATCCAAATTTAATTCATTAACTCACACCTAGCTACATCAAACGTTAAAATTAATAGAGAGAAGAAAAAAAAAACTAGAGACTTATTGGTAACACTAGTTGTGTGTCCTTTGGCATGAGAAAAGAGAAGTTTTCAACTTTGGTTTTTAAATGTGACAGAAAAGTCTATGGTGCTTGTCTTATGTACATGTAAAGAAGTTAAATATGAATTCAGTCAAACATCATCCAAGTTTGTCTCGTGGCTCCTTCAACTTCATTTCCCCACCAAAAATTTCAATTCAATCATATAACGTAATCAGCCAGGCCCACGATAACTCAGTAATCTTTCTTTTATCACCCATTCATTGTCTTTTCCCTTCAATCTTTCACTCATAATACCTATATAAAAATTTACATGCCGGACACCAAAACTTTTTTGAATTATTATAATTTCATTTTATGTTATCTGGTTTTTCCCATCTCTGTTTTAGAATCGTAAAGAGCCCCCTTCATGATAATTTGACATCGAAATTCTATTGACTTTTTCTTCCATTATATTTAATTTTATAATAATCTCATCCATAATCTCATCTCCGTACTTTTGTTTAAAAATGAAGAAAATATCGCAATGCTTTTTGGAAATTCATCAAGCTCTTGTTTTATCTTCACATTTTTATCGACCTAAAAGATTCAATCGGACTTGTTGTCAAATATGAAATAAATTAATTAATATGGTACACGATGCACCACACGAGTTAAATAATTTTTTGTTGTTGTAATTTTCTCTACTGGTAACATCATAATACATTTTGGCTTTGCAATATTAAGCAATATAAGAAAAAGCTACTTGGCTTCTGTTTTGTTTTTCAATGCAATGAAAATAAAAAAAAAAAAAAAAAAAAAAAAAAAATTATGGAATTCAAAATAAAATAAATATATAGGCTATCTGGGACTAATTCAATTCTTCTTTCTTTTCTTTCTTTAGGTTTCGTTGGTATTTACTTACTTTTCAATATATAGTTTTCTTCCTATGTCATCAAACAAATATGTATTTTGTGGATTTATTGCATTTTTTCAAGTGAAAGAGCAAACACATAACTTGTCCGCATCAACTAGTGACTGAAAAAAACCCCATTCTCAGATCCCCTTCACGTTTTATTTGCTTGGCCCTATCGAACTCTGCCGCTAAAAAAACATTTTTTTTTTTAAAATCCCACAAAGCATATGTTGCTAGCTCACTATATATATATTCTAATTTTCTCCACAAATTTCATAACCATAGAAAAAACCCAAGTATGAGCAGTGTCCAATATTCCCTAGGCAAGGTGCCCTTCTCATGGGAAAACATGCCTGGTGTCTCCAAAGCCACACAACCACCACACCCCTACAGAGAGCTGCCACCCCCACCTTGCCCTTGTGGTGAGGCTTCTCCTAAACTCTCTCTCCAAGATTTTCATCTGCCTCTACCTCCCTGCACCTTTCAGCCCCTCTCAAGAAGCTCCTCCACAAAGGCTCTTAGAAAACATGAAGACCCTTTTCTAGCGGCCTTCCAAGAGTGCACCAAGCCCCCCGAGGGGAAGGCAAAGGACAAGACGACGTCGTCGAATAAATATTGGTTTCAATCTGGACTGGGGAGTTGGTTTGGGTTTGGCTTGTCGTGTAAACGGTCGAGCAGTGTAAGGGATGATAGTTTGGTCAGGGTCTCTCGGGTTCCCTATCATAGAGACGGAACACTTTAGACTTTGTTAATTTCCAATTAGTATGTGTATTTGGCCCTAGCTATGGCTAGGGATAACGATCTTCATGGTGATCATTTTTAAGAAAATGATGTTGCAATATTTGGTTTGGAATTTTATCATGTTTTCAACTTTCGTTTTTCTTTTCTTGAGTTTGGTCTATCAGAAAGTACTTAAGTGAGCCAATATTATATAATCTCTAGTGTGTTCATGACAAGAGATATTTGCGGAAGGAAATCAGTCGAACTCATGACCTCATCATGAGTAAGAGTAAATACTTTAATCACTTAGAGCTACAATGAGAACTTGCCGAAAACGGAGACAAACCATTAATTTGTGATATAATGAGAGTATGGTTATTATTGATGAATTTATGGAATCCTCAACAAGGACTTTGGTTCATAATAAATAAACTGGATATTGAAAACACCAGCTCTTGATCCCCCTTTGAATGAGTGATTTGCTTTGTCGTATCATTGAAATTTGAAGCTTAGTTAAGATGGTAAATTTTGAATTTTATTTTATTTTCTGAAATAAGCAACAAAAGATATTTAGAAAAAAACGTTTACACACACTTTGGTAGGTAAAGTTCAAATTGAAGTACCTTAAATAAAACGGGGAAATCAATGACTATTTAAGTGAATAAATGAGGGGAAATCATGACTAAGGGCTAGTTTGGCATTGCTGTGCTGTGAAAATAATCGTTGTCAGATTTGCTGTGAGAGAAATCAGCTGTGAGAGAAAGCAGTTTGGCGTTTGGTAAATTTTTTGTTAAAAGTGTTGTTAGTATTGATTTTACGCATAATCAAAAAATGATTGCCGCATAATAATTAAACCCAGTGCCTCTTCGAAACTGATTCCTGCATAATCAGGAAATGAAAGCACCTCATTAGCTGCTTTCCCTTATAGCTTTATCTCACAACAATTTTTAACAATAAGTGATTTTCTCACAGTTTACCAAACGGGTTGGGTTTCTCAAAATTTTTAAAAAATCACTTATCACCCCAAATAAGCAATGCCAAACTAGCACTAATTTGAGTGAAGAAATGAGTTAGATTAATCAATTTAATTTATGATTTTCGAGTATTGTATTATTAATTTTAATGTGTAATCCGTGTAATTTTTGAGTCATTACAGATTAATAAATATAGTGGAAGTTAAGAATTGAAATATCCATTTCAAATAAGTAAACATGATACATGCTTCATCTTAAGGGCCAATTTGGGATTGCTGTCACTTAAAAATAAAAGTTACTTATGCTGTGCTTTGAAAGACTGGTAACGCATAAAAATAGCATGAAGAGTAGTTCCAGCGGGCTGCCATTGCCAGGGCAGGAGGGAGCCGAAGCCCCAAATTCGTCTTCCAGCAAGCTAAAGCTACCAGGGCAGTTGATGGGGCTCAATAAACCATGCCAGCCCTGAGGCAAAACGAGCGGGTGCTCTAGCCTGGGTTTGCTGATGTCAGCAACCAAATTTTTTAAAAAAAAATCGAAAAAAATACAAAAAATTTTAGAATTTTTTTAAAAATAAATACTTAGTCATATTCTTCACTTCCCATACCAAAATTTTATACAAATTTCTCTCCTCATATCTCATGTGAATAGTTGTTGCCATGACAATAGGTGAAAACACTACAAGACTTTTGCAAGGGTTGACACTAATCACGTGAATAGTAACACCCATTGTCCTTTGCCATGACAAATGAGTGGAAGTGCGCGAAAGGGCCATTGACCGATCGTCGGATTTCGTTAAAGAAAAAAAAATGAAGAAGAGAAAGGAAAAAAGTAAATTTAGGTTTTAACCACAAAAAAACTTTCACTTTTAGAAAAAGCCATAACTTTTCCAAAAAAGATAGAAAAACCCATCAACTTTCAAATCAAAGACATGCAAATGTAAAGGAGTTCTTAGGAAATCCAAAAATAAATAAGGACATTTTGTCCATTTTTGCTTATAAAAATATTTCTCTATCTTTTGGCATTTTCCAAAATGTCTCAAGGGAGAAAGGGTGCGGGTGGGTACATCCGACCCGCTCAAAGCGACCCGAACCACGATGCACAAGTAAAAATGCTTTAACTGTGACTGCGTGTAAATTTCGCGGAACACAGGGTAATTATTGGAAGTCGGTAAACGTTAGTACAACTGTCTTCTGATTTCTTGAGCCCTCTTTCTCTGTAAACAAATCCCTCTGATTTCTTAAACCCTAGCACCTGGGTGGAGATACAGTCAGCGAGATCATCTAGCTCTATCGTTCGTCAGCAAGAACAAGTTCTCGCACCACTGATTGCGCACTCCTTTTCCCACCTGTAAGTGCTTATTCTCCTCCGTCCTCTCAAAACTCAGAACGGTTGCCCATCCCTTTCTTCTTCGTCTTCTTCTTTCTTTCCTCAACATTTGCCCTCGGTTTCAAGTGCAGAGTCCAATTAGATTAAATTACAGGCTTATTATTTTTTATATACAAATGGTCCGTGGTCGAATTCATTTTAGTAATTGCGGATGGGAAGTCTAAATAGAAGCTGTGCATAGATGAGTTTAGGTGCATTTGAGTGTTCGTTTTCAACTAGTCTCATATTGGAATCAATTCTTTACCTGGTTTGATGCACTTGCAGTCACAGTTTCCTGCTTTTGGGTCTCCAACTAGTGTTAGCTTGTTGATTTTATTGAAAATATTTGTTTGTTGATTTTTGCAGGTTGCCTAATTGCATATGCGCTGAAATGGCTAATAACCCTCAGTCCTCAGCTGCGCAGGTACCTAACTTCTAACCTCATCATTGCTAAGCAGTCATTATGAGTTTATTTTTGTCCCGTAATGTAATTCACTTTTAATTATGGTTTATGATTTAGATAGTGGAATTACATATACATGTCTTTCTAGGGTTCATATAAACTTCATATTTTGTCAGTACTTACTTTAACCATTCTAAGTGTATAAACAAATGTGGTTCAGTAATATTTTTATTTTGTAATTCCTTCCTTATAGGAATGCACTATTAACTTATTTTTAATTTTTGTTTTTTTTCTTTAATCTCTCCCTCCCTCTATCGGTCAGCCATTTCGGCCTCCTCCAGTTGCTTCCTTGGGTCCTCAAAGTTTTGGTTCATCCCCATCTCTTCAAGTAATTTCTTCTCCTGCCTATCTTCGGTGACTTTTGTCATCTCTACTTTCTGGTCGATTATTAATAAGTGGTGTATGTACAAATCTCTTTGATGCAGTATCGACCAGTGGTTCCAACACAGCAAGGACAACAGTTTATTCAATCAGCCTCCCAACAGTTTCAGCCTGTGGGACAAGGTATTCCTTCTTCAAATGTTGGGATGCCTGCTAGTCAAAGTCAGCAATTACAATTTTCTCAACCAATGCAACCATATCCTCTCAGGCCAAGTCAGCCTGGTCATGCTACACCTTCGTCACAGGCTGTGCCTATGCAATACATGCAGATGAGGCCTATTACATCTGCCCCATCACAGTCTCAGCAACCTGCCCTACCTTTTAATAATCAGATGCCTGGCTTAGCTGGTGGTGGAATGCCTTATTCTTCATCATATATGGTAAGCTCACATGATGTTATCTCTGTATATGTGTTTGTTTTCCTTGATTTTATTGAGCAGATTTTTTCATATACTTACATGCACCTGAATTGTTTCAGTTCGCACCACCTTCATATGCCCAGCCACAAAATAATGTCAGTTCTTCGTCCCAGTTTCAGCCAATCTCTCAAGTGCAAGCACATGTATCTGTCACAGGACAGCCTTGGGTGTCCTCTGGTAATCAGGGTGCAGCAGTTCCTACACCGGTACCGCAGTCCGGTCAACATCCTTCAAGCACTACTTTCACAGATTCTGTAAGTTCTTTATTTATTGTATTTCATTCAATTCAATTACCTTAAACCCCATTGAAGGATACCAATGTCATGACTTTTGTTCATGCAACCTATTTTGATATCTAATTTTGACACTAATTGTTAAAGTCATCTGGTTTTACAGATGCCAAAAGAACTATCATCTGAGTGAATTTCTAATTATTGCATCATCTAAATTGTCATTTTTATCACACTGGTCATGTTATTACGATTTTCATACATCCCCTATGAAACAAGATGCACACTTAGGTGCAAATAGAAGACTTGAAAAGCAATGCAAGCAATCAGGAACTTTGTGGTAGTTGTCTACTAAGTTCTCAGACACAACACTGATAATTTTATTTTAATCCTGATTTAGACATCGAGCACATTACTGTCACATGGAAAATGAATTTTTTTTTGGTTGGTGTAATTTATACTTTTCTAAATTTCAGGCTGTAAATGTTCCTAGCCAAACACAGCAGTCTTCTTCTGATTGGCAAGAGCATACATCGGGTGATGGAAGAAGGTAATTCATGATTTCTCTGCAGCTCATGTTTTCTCTACTTTTCTCCTCGAAGTTGATGAAATGTTCAATTTATACTGGTAAAATATAAATATTTTAGGCTGCTAATGGTCCGTTATGTATTTATTTTTCAATATGAAACAGTGTGGTTCATTATTTTGAGAGTTACTTTCTGATTTTCTTTTAGTTATTCTGAAGTCCTTCCTGACCTTGTGTGTTTTTTATTCTGGTTTCTGATGGATTCATTTTTTCAGATATTATTTCAACAGAAGAACAAAACAATCTAGTTGGGAGAAGCCTTTAGAATTGATGACACCGATGGAGGTGAGTCATATTGCTGACTTGTTACCAGTAGCTAGAACTTTTATATTTCATCTCCAATTACCTGTTGAACATGCCCTTGAAATGTTTTTTTTCTTTTGAATTTGCACTATAAATTTTGTTGCCATTTGTGGATGTTTGACAATTTTAGGTTGTAGCCATGCTTAAATTGATCGAAATTGTTTATGCGAATTATCCTTTTATTTGCATGTGCTTCAACTGGTTTGTAGATGTCATGGCAAGTCTGGAGAAATTTTACGACTGCTCTGTAAGCTCACTTTGAAGACGGGGTTTCAGTTTCACAAGGCAGGCAGTAATTGTT